CAGGGAAAACACCTTAGATTACTCTGAAACGGGAATGTGCACCACAGGAAGTTACGCAGAGCGAGCGATGGGCTCTGAATGTACCTGTGAGCTTACCAGGCAGTAACTTGCTGTGCTTGCCTGTATTCCAAGAACTCATGGCAGAATGATGCTGTTCTGGTCAACGCTTTGAGAGCTCAGCAACAACTCGGCTTCACTGTCACCACTCACCCTTAGCAACAAAGGCAGAGCAGTAGGAACTTTTCTCCCTCTTATAAAAGAGCCTTGTGTTTTGCTGTCCATTACAGAACCAGGCTTTCTAAAGCTAAGGAACAGAAAACTTATTTGATTTTTTAAACTATCTATCCTCAGCTCTAGAAGCAACAAGCCATTCACGCTGTGATCTTAAAAGCCTATTTTTAAAGTGGCCATTAATATTTTCATCTTTTAGCAGAACATGCAAGTAAGATCCCAGGGCTAAAACCACATTATCTTGCCTTTTTTTTTTTCCAAGGCATATGTATCACTTTTTATAAAACTATTTTTCAGGAGTATTTTCACTATTAACAAATACATCAGGTTACAGCTTGCATGTGAAGTGAAAAAGCACTAGGTTGACTTAATATGTTTCCCAAGAACTGAGCTATTTGCTCTGCCTCTAAATCAGAACCACCTGTTTTGAAAACAAGAATGGAGGAAAAACAGGAGCAAGGCAATAAACGCACTCTTCAGTTCCAGGTACCTTTTGAGTATTTTATGAGGGAAGCTTCCACTCCACCAGCAATCAAATTCTGGAGCCAAATGATCAATACTCCTTCCAAAGGACACTAACATGGGTTCACCTCTCTACAATCCCTTAAGAGGGAGCAAAAAAGAAAACCTGTTCAAGGTCAAGTGGCAGAGTTTTGCACAGCTTTCCTTAGAGTTAACAAATATCATTAGCATTCATACTTCAGTCAAAACATTCAGTTCAATGGTCCTTTTCCCCTTAAAATGCATGCCGTTAAATGTTATACTTACAAGGTAAATTAGCTTCAAGTTCTGCAACCTCTGTTGAAAGAAAAAAAAAAACAAACTACTGTTATTTATGCAAGCATAAAGCCATTCTTGAAGTCTACATTGGCAGATCTAATTTAAACCACCCTGTAAATCAAATTCCACTTAAAAATATAATTAAGTTGCACTGGAGGTTTACCTTGAAATTTCTCTTTAAAGCCCCACAATTCATTACTAAAACCACTCAGCTGCCCTATAGACAATGCAAACATATCCTACTGATCAGGAGATTCAGTTCTGCCCAGACTGAAGTGCCAGGGCTTCTAATACGCAGAGTACTGGCATTTCAAAAAGTGGCATTATCCAAACTTCCAAACTTGTCTACATGAAGCATTAAAATATAAATTAAAATATGCAGGCCAGAACTCCACAGCCTGCAAAATACAAGAGCAGAAAAATCTGGAGAATCAAGGTGCCAGTCCAACAATGAAAAGAAGCACAGGAGGTTCACAGCCTGCAGAGCATCGCCACACTCCAGCATCCAACTGCTAACGCTCTTCCACCACCAGCTACAGGCTGCCTCAGGTTACGCACCGCTTCTGTAGGGAAGCCTCCAAGCATGATACCAGGTACTGCACACTTGAAAAAAGCTACTGAAACCCCAATTCAAGGGCACCGTCATACTAGATGTGGTCCTGCCTGCAGAAACCAGCATTAAGAGCACCAAAAGAACAGAGAAAGACAAACCTTCACTTCAACCACCTGGCACAGCAACGTGCACTGGTCGGTGATAAAATCCGCACCCATTGCACAACTCCACCCAAACCTCTGCACTGTTGAACAAACTCAGGAGGGTTAAGATTTTTTTTTTTGCTCCTGTGTTTGTTGGATTTTTCCCCTGGGAGCAGCCTGCTATAGATATGTGCTCCTGTTCAATTAACGTTTCTTTTTATTTATTATATTTCCCATGCATAAAACTTAGAAGTTATGAATAAAGGAAAGGAAAAAAACCCAATTCAGTTGCCTAGCTCCTAGGAAGGGAAGTTTATTGCTAAGCCTTTTCTCTGCCATGCTACCTTCTCTGGAATACTCCCTTCTTTCTCCCTCTTCCATATATTTTATTCAAGTCTTACTTGCAACTATCTGTATTTCACAGAAGTATGAGTAAGATGCATGAAGACACCCCCCCCTTTTACTTCTAAAGTGCTAGGAAACCTAATCAAATATATTTTTGCATTTCCTCTAGTCTTTTTTTCCACTTGATTTCTAACTTCACTTTCTGGTCTGCACAGACACGGCTCATTCATTTGGGCTAACAATAATGTGTAAGAGATTTCAACACCAACTCTAAAAACATACATCTAAAGAAAACTGTAATTCGGTTTAAGATATGATGAGTAATTTCTTGGCAGAGAATCCAAACTGATCTCATCACAATTAAGAGCTCACTAATTCTCCAAAACTTTTCTTGCATCCGTGCTTACCAAACCTTGCTGGTCTCTGCAGCCAGTATAATGCTTATTTGACTCCCATCTCCCACTTGCTTGGCACAGCCCTGGTATCCCTGCACCTGCAGCCTACTATACCAAGACAGAAAACCCCACCAAAACAGAAGCACTGTGTTCCACGCTTACCTAAAACGTTCATAATTGCACTCTTTAAAATCTCACACTGCAGCGCTCGAGCAGCCACAGCTCATTTAACCAAAGCTGTGCACTGAAAGACAGATGACACTGGGGACATACTTTTGCTAAAAGTTTTCAAACAATGCTCTCTTTATAATACACCAAAATGTAATTTCAGCTATACTCTGGGACCATTTTTACTTTCCTTTTCTGTTTTTCTTTTTTTTTTTTTTTAAAAAAAGACATAACCTGCTGCTGAAAGCTGCAGCTATAAACCATCAAGAGTATTCCTCTGCCCCTTTCTCTTTAAACTCACCAGCCTTTCATAGGCACTATCAATCTTCACTAGAGCATAGAGTTTACAACCTGGCTCTTATTTAAAGGCGTTGACTGCTTTCCTTTTTGCCTTCTCTGCTTGCGTGTTGTTCAGTGTAATGAATCCTGCCCATTCTTTGCTTGAATTCCGAGAAAGAGACACCAAAGGACAGATCCAGCATGTTCAAACCCAGCGACGGCCAGGCTGCAGCAGGTCTGCTGAGCTGGGGCCTCACTTCTGCCTCCTGCAAGGTTCGGTAGAGAATTTACTCATCACCGTAGTTCCTTCAAAGTGTGAAAAATCTCCTGTAATGCATAAATGCTTCTGTGTTTCCCTTTGTCTTGGCACAACAGTCAACAGGTTTTCTTGTGAAAACATGAAAGCAAAGGTGCTCGCACCCATGAGTGCAAAACGGGGAACAAAGGTAAGTGCCCCAAAACTAAGGTTTCTAATCAACTCTGCAACAAACCACTGAAACTAAGAAGGAAACAACTTCATAAAGATAAAAAAAGCAGGTAAAGACTCGCTTCGATAATCTAAACTTTTAAAGTAACATCAAGTAAGGAAACAGATGTTACTATGAGCTGTAATACTATGTATTGCCTTATAAGCAATGGTGATTGACAGTAACTAGCACATTTGATGGGCCAAAGCTAGAGTGCTTGCGAGTGTCCCAAATTTCATGACTCTTTGGTAGTGACAGTCTTGACATTGAAATCACTTTTGTATTTTGCTACTCAGTGAGCTACACCATTCAAGCTCCATTAAGATTCTGATGTTTTAAGTCATGCATTTTCTACACAAAGCAATATCACTGACAAGAATATTCTCCGAAAGAAAATGCCCCTTGCGTAGCCTGGCAACTTATTGGCATGGTTTAACAGATTTGTAAATAAGCAAAACGTAGAAGCAGCAATTAGAGCTCCAATGCACTGAACTTCCAAGAGCTCCAAAAGCCTCACTAAATTAAAGAACAAACTTAATCTCACAATCTTTCTGATCTCCGCTTTCAAAAAAGGGACTGTAACTACACCTGAACAGTAAAGAAAAGCCAATTTGGCTGCTTTTCATAATGTTTTGTGGATAATTGGTATCTGTGTCTCAATTCGCAGCCAGGCATCTCACCGCTCCTTAAGATGATGACACAAACAACCAGATAACCCAAGTCTCAAAAAATACTGTTCAAAAGCATTCCAGAAACAGTGCTGGTCAATGCCCACTCAGCGCTGGCTTAGCGGAGGTGCTGAAACACTGTGGAGCACCTGAATTCCTCTCGCAGTCAAGAGGGCTTATTGCCAAGAAGCGGCAAACCCAGGAGCACTGCAAGGCCCAGCATTCACTCTGACAAGCCCTCCTGGGCAGGTCTGAAAAGCTGTAAGTGCAGACACAGGCCAGAGCTTTGGCAAGGAAAAAAAAAAAAAAAAAACACCAAAACAAAAAACCCACACACACCAACAAAACCACTCAGGTGCAGTCAGGCCAGGCCCAGACTAGCTCCCAACCACCCAGTCTGGTGTTCCTGAAACCTTATGTGACCTGGTGCAGGAGCACAACCAAGCGGTAGGTATATTTGCAAAGTCCTGCTCTTGACCCAGTATGCACTTGCTTCAACAGTTCCAAATGCTATTTTCAACCATAAAAAGAGCAAAAAGGCAAGGGTTAAACTTCACCTACCATAGACTGTGGAAGAATTGAATGCAAATTGATAGTGTCTCAGAAGCAGCTTGGGAACTTTATAAAAGAAGGGAAAGCTAAGCCTAACACAAGCAACCAGAGCTATTTATAAATGACTTCACAAACAATAACTCTCCCTACCCATGACAATTCTCAGGACAGAAATAGGAACACACAGTCCTGACGTGTGTAAAAGCATACGGTTTACGAGACCCACATGAATGTTATATTCAGTAAGGCACAGACTATAATCACATCGTTCTGCTCCCTCCCTTTCTCCCACCCCACCTCAACAAGTCAGAATATAGAAGTGCTTGGTCTACTGGCCTTGCCACAAGAGTCAGGCCATACGTTTCCCACTGGAATTTGGTTTTAAGTATACAAAATGCAAGCTTTATTTCCTCAACCAAAAAGAACGTGCTCATCCACAGTGATCTTACATCTCTCTGGGTTTGACCAAAAAGCCCACTCTCCTGTTTAGGTCCCTCTTTAATGTACAACTTCAAGACTGCTAGAGATGAATATAAATACCCTGACACTCTGACAGAAACTCCATTTTCTAAGTACTATTTCTAGCAGTATAATGCTGTTTGCCTCCTAATTCTCACCCATCTATCTTTATAGCTTTCCCTA